TACCTGCAACACAGAGGGAAGATTCAGTAAGTCATTAGAGAGAGAAAAGGTGAGTTCAGCAGAACACACATGAGCTACTGGTGGTTCAGGAATTGGAAAAATTGCAACAGGACACAGAACCAGTACATTTACCAACTCTCAAATTTCTCTGCAGCTTAAGAACTGTTCAAGTTTAAACAGTTCTTAATCTGAATTTAATTTTGAAAACTGTTCGGATTTCAGTGAAATGTTTCTGTGTCTGAAAGTGTCTCTTCAGTTCCATCCAGCTGTTCTCATAAAAGACATCATTTGACCCTCCAATTGCTGTAATTTTAGCAAGACCATAACAACTTTTTGATTCAGTAAGGAAACTCACAAAAGAAAAAAAAGAATATTTTTATATTTCTACAAATAAATTCCAAAACCAGAAATCAAACAAAACTTTAAAGCCTTAACTAAAGATAAAATAAATAAAAAAGAGGGCATGATATAAAGCATCTTTCCTTTTCCAAAGTCAAAAAGTTGCCTGATCCATAAGGTTGGTATTTCAAAAGGATTAGAAGCATCTTCTCATGCCCAGTGGGATGCACATGTTCAGAAGATAAATGTTAGGAGATCTTTCCAGAGAGATAAAGTTCTGGGAAAAAAACCCCATTTATTTCACCTTTTAATGCACATGACACAACATCCTGGGATAGGTTCCTATCACAGCTGTCCATTTAACATCAGTTATTTAACAATTAAAAATGTTTGTTCTCAGTTCTGTTGGGGATGGGAATACCAAAATTAAAAATGTTTGTTCTCAGTTCTGTTGGGGATGGGAATACCAAGCAATGCAAGGAACCAGAATCTCCAGATCTCTTTTTTTCCACTCAGATTCAGCAGGAAGCTGGAAGTCACGGACCTCAGAGGACATTTCTTTATAAAAACTAGATTTATTTCTCTTATTTTTATGTGAGAGTAATCACTGATTGTAAAGTTGTGTACAATATTCCTTAGTGGGGAAGGGTTAATGATGTGAGAGCAACTGAAGCATGGAGTTTTAAACTTCAACATTAAACTGCTCTATTATTAAAATTCATATTTATTCCAGTCTTGTGCAATGCTCTTGTGACAGCTCAAAGAACTTTGATCTAAAACAAATTCTTACTTTAAATACTGCTGATCTTTCTGAAAAGGCAAATTAAACTGGGCTCACAGAATGTTGAAACAACCACCATTTCCCAGAGTGAGGCTCCAGTAGAAGAGTCAAGGGAAATTGCACATAAAAGACAAACACACAAGACAAAAGGTGCATAAGCTACAAATTAGGAATGGTCACTTGTGTCTTTGTGTGCATGTGCAGAATGAGGCCATGTGGGGGAACTGACCTTAACAACTGGACAGCTGTTAAATTAAAAACTTAATTAGGTCAGTTCAACAGCAAGCCACCAATGTGAAATGTCCCAACATCCTCTGAGTGGGCTCTTGGAGTCACAAACAGTGAAGATGCTTCACTTTATGAATAGTAAAGATGCTTTCCCCAAAGTGGATGGTGAGAAGAAGAATGAAATTATGTATTGTCAATGAAGCTCAGCTTGGGAAACACAGCCTGAATCTCAATATCAGTGAGGTAAAAGATGCAGCAAGATTAGAAATGATGAATAAGTGAACTGGTTTTACTTGTGCCATGAAAACTTAGGGTCCATGAAAAAAATGAAAAAACCAGCCTGCTGCCTTTGATGTACACAGGAAATGGTAGAAGCAGGGATGGAGGGAGAATCAGCAAATAATCAAGAACATAAAAGTTTCTGGCACAACTTCGAATTAATCTCAGACCTTCTGGAGGCAAATTTAATATTCAAAACATCCTTTCCCTTTTCTACATGGCTTTTTCCAATGGGGGTTTATTTATGCAATTAGATAGTAGACCTTGGGAAACATTTTAATACCAGCAGCACTTGATGCCAGGCCAAGTTTACCCAGGTAGCTACACTTCAGTTTTGGTTCAGTTCATCTCTACACAAGCCCTGATAGAATAGCTTAGAAGGATCCAAATCTTATTAATTCCCGAAAGTTAAAAGTTATCTCCAAATACAGTAAAACTTCAGACCCCAAAATAATGTCACAGGTACCTTTACTGTGCTTGGGAAGTCACTTCCAAATGCATATACTGAAATTCTGGCCCCATGCCTTACAGCTGTTCACATTTTATTACGTAAGAAGCAGTGCACATGCCTGATTTTCTCAGTAAAATGATAAACCATTTTCCCATTAAAAACGTTCAGTAGTTTCCCAGGTTTGTGTGCAGCAGTTTCTTGTGCCTCTGTTAATCAAGTCTTAAGTGTGCTATAAGCATTTTATTCATTAGAATAGTGCATTTTCAAGTTAAGCTTGCAATCTGAATAACTTTGTAAAATCCGTTTTTCTTCTTAAAAAAAAGGTAAATATGGAGGAAACTGATGCAGGCACCAGTGAGAAGATTCTGATCTAAGTGCCTGCTGACTTGTGACTGGTATTTGAAACTGGCAGCAGCATTTGTCATACATGAGGACTGGCAGAAATAAAGTATCAGCTCATTTATGTGTTTTGTTTGCTTTTCCTTAGAACTCTGAAGACATCTGCCTTTCGTGGTGTAGCTTTCAAAAGGCAGAGAAACAGTACACGAAAATCCAGCATACCTGTCTCCACTGTAAGCACCCCAAGTATGTTACAGTTATTAAAAACATGAGCTCTGCTTTTACATCTGCTGTCACCTGCAGAGATCAGAGCCTGCATGTACCTGACAAATTTTCACAGCTACACAAATGAAAGTGCGAGTACCTGATCCTGACACCTGTTTTAAACAGGATTTGCAAAGCTGCCTCCCAAGTGAAATGCAGAGCCACGTGAGCTCAGCCAGCCATCCCTGGCTGCAGATGTGTTCCTGCTGCTGGAACTGCCCCACACTGAGCTCGGCTCTGCCAAGGATGGGGGCTGGGTTGGGAACCCCCACATGTTCCTGCAGCAGTGCCAGTGGTGACAGAGCAGTTGTGGTTTTTGCCCAGAAGTTAATGAATTAATGTCTGACAGGACAGGATGTGGAACTGGGTGCTATTACACAAAACTGCAGAGCCCAGAGACATTCAGAGGCTTCTGAAGCAGTCAGTGGTAGAGCCTTGGGATGTTAAGGCTGTGCAACAAAGCTTCGGTGGGGAAGATGCTTCAGCTTTAAACAGCAACACTAAACAGCTGATGGTGACAGAAACATAAACAACTTTTCTTTATTCCTTTCCCCTCTGAATTTACTTGTCCTCTATAGTGGGGCTAGAAAAAGAAAACAAGGCAAGCATTATTCTCCTGAGCTCTGATCCTTTGTTCTCTGCCACACAGTACACCCAAATTTGCTTTAACGTACCTTCAGCAGGATTCAGCTTTGCTGCAGATGTTTCAAAATGTTTCTATTTTAGACAATGCCTGCAGAATACACTCAGGTCTTCTCTGAAGCAACAGTTGCTTTGTGTAGAAAAAGAAAAAAAACAGGACATGGTGGGGCTTCCAGGCTGGTGTGTGTTGTATATTTTCCATGGCTCTATGCCTACAGAGAACATTTCCCAGGGAGGAAGGAGGTCTTTTGGTGTCTTTTTGAAACAAGCAAATAAAGGCATTTCCACTTCATCATCACCAGACATTCTTTTGAGATAAATAGGGATGGATAAAGACCCTACATTCCTTTAAGCACACAGAATAAAAACCACGAAGATTCTAAAGGTTTAAAAATGGAAAACCATCAGCAAGGAACCAGAAAGTCTGGCTTCCCCTTTGAACACTGCTCTCAGCCTCAACAAGACACATTTTTTCGTTCAACTTTCTCACAACGTTCACCTAACTACACTTGCCAGGACATTTTGCCAAATTAGAGAAACTGCTGCAGAAACCATCTGCTTGACATTGCTTACATGTAATAAAGTATGGCTCAATACAATGTATTGGAAATGTTTGGGGATCTTTACATGGGAACCAAAAGCAGCAGTGCTGACTCAGGCAGATCTCCCGCTGATGTCAGTGGGAATTGTACCTGAATGAGCTCTGCTGGAGCTGGTACAGAGCTCGCTGTGCAGCGCCTGCCACTGACAGAACATGTGGTTATAGTTTAACAATACAAACTGTGATGGAGATGAGAAGGACATTTTATAGCATTTCTGCCTTGCTGCTCTTTTATAACTATCAAAAACACTTAAATGATTTGTACACGTCTGCTCTGTGACAGCTTTTCCCAGCTTCAAGTGAACACTGAGAAACTGCTCCAAAGTTAGGTCCTGCCTCAACAGCAAGAGTTTATCTGTTGATATAAAAACATGAACAACAGAAAAACAGCATGTATAGACTAAAATAAAACTTCCAATGTACCTACTGAGACAAAAGATTTACATAAAATAAAGCAAGCAGGAAAAGTAAGGAATGTGGATCACTGCTGCAGTTTCTTCCCCTCTGTAAGATTAAGGGAAGGAATGTAGTATGTACCTCTCACCTTAAGTAAAAGCAAGCCCAAAATAATTCCATGCTGAAGCTTACAGTTAAGCCCAGACAATCAAATATTAGTTATTTAACTTTTGACATCCCTGTATTACCTTGCCCTTGTTGCTTCCACTCTTGCTTGTGTCGCTGTATCTCACATTTCTCTCTTCCAGCTGGAACTGTAATTGTGTTCCCAGGGGTGAGTGAGAGCAGGGCAGCCATCTGTGGGTCACTGCCATCAGTGCACAGCAGTCAATCTCCAACCTGCCTCAAAAGCACCAAGTCCCAGAGCACAGCTTGGCACAGAAGTGGGGTTTTGTTCAGAGGAATCTGACCAGAATGGTGTTGAAAACAAGAGCATGGCCATACTCAGGGTGAATGGGATAAATCAAGAACGGGACAGGCCACTGCCTACCATGTCTCACACAGGAACCCAGAGCAGCAATCCCACAGAAGAACCAAACAGAAATGTTTTCAAAGCTGCACAAGGAACTGAACTTCAGCTCTGTGCAATGAGCACTTTTAACACTTCATCAAAGGAGATGGGAGTTTTACTTTGGACAGTAGACTTTATTAGAAATTTTCTCCTCATTCATCAGTAAATTCACATTAAAATATGCTGAAGGCAGCTCTGTCTAAACATTTGACATTCTGCTGTAACAACAACTTCCAGTTTAAAAACTAGATAACTGATTCAGGCAGATAACTTGAAACACGTAAGAAACGCAAACAGAAAGCAGCATCTTTAAAAAAAGGGATGAGCCTGAAAAACTGACACATTTCAGATGGAGAGGGGGAAGAAAAAAGAATCAGTCACCCCAAGATGGGAAACAGTTAAATGAGAACTCCAGACACTAAACAGATAAATAAACATTATAATCACACATACATTAAAAAGAAAACAAAGTACTTAGAGTTCATACCACGTAAAAATTATGAATTTGTTTAAAAAAAAAAAGGGGGAAGTGACAAGCTTCCTAAAATATGAATATACTAAATTCTTGGGACAATGAACACTTTTGTTATAAACTGCAGAACTTTGGAGGGACTAGATTTGGTCTTTGAAAACAACAAACTGCAACTTACTGTTACCAAGTCCAAAAACTGACCTGACACATGAACTGTTTGTTTCTTCTCATGTTTTTAAACCACATTCTCTTCTTCTAGACAATAATCTGCTTTTATTAAACATTAGAACTTTTAGGTATTATAGGCCTAATTATGTTGAGCACTGAACATGCAGAACTCTCAACAACTCTGCATACCGAGGTTTAAATATTTTTCAAAAGTTACTGTCAAGACTTTTCCTTTGATAATTTATTTTTATTTATTGGAGTAAAGTATAGGAGAGAGAAAGAAAAATGAAAATCATAATATTGAAAAATGCTCTGCCTGCATGACAGTGAATCTTGCAGGCAAGATTTTCTATTGGCATTTACCAGAGGCAACAAAGATAAACAAATCAATGTATAAGAGATGAGAATTATAGCCTTCAGGACTGTAAACACAACAGGAAACAGGTAACACATGAACCTCAATCAAATCAATGTTTTCACATTCTTTAGTAGCTCCCCCACAGTAATTTGCTTTCACCGGTTCAGAAAAAAAATATACATTAAAAATTAAATAACACTTAAGTGTCCATCACAAAGATTTATATTTCGCTGTAAACAATTTTCTGCCATTTGCATTGATGAAGTCCAATGTGAGGCCAGAGGGTTCTAGATGTCTTATTGGTACTGTAAATAATTTTTCAGAGACAGAGGCAAAGGTAGAATTTCTATGTCATGCAGGCGGTCTCTGCCAAGAGCAAAACGAATTGATCTTCGGCACAAGTCCATTAAAGGCAGGGGTTCCGCTGGAAAAACAGGAGAAAGAAAAGAAAGAGTTAATTTTTCAGCATCTCTATTTACAGACAATACTTTTTTTATTAACAGAGATTCTATATTCTATCGATCAGTCATAAAGATAGCAATGGTACTGGGAGAACGTTTGTATCTTGAGGCAGAGTTTTCTACATTTCACCCATAGTAAGGGGCTGCAAAGTCACACACTGAGCTTCTTTATCTGCAAGGTTTAAAACAATAATGCCAAACCACTCTATCAAGCATGAGAAGTTAGTATATTTCCAGATCTCAAACAAGACAGGGAGTTTCTACTGTGTTTATAACACTTCTACTGTGTTTATAACACAACATTCATCATGTTGTGTTAACATGAACTACACTGGCAACTTCTGACCTTTAGATCCCAGTTCCTTCTGCGTCTTAGGAACTGGAAATGGCACTTAGGGGTAACCAAACTTCTCAGCTAACAGTGCTTTTCCTGCAACACTCTTTTAGCCTTTCTTTCTAGGAAGTCCCTTGGAAGAAAAAACTAAACAAAACACCCTTGAAAATCTAGAGGAAACATAATCTTTTCCTCTGTGAATAAATTAGTGGAGGATTTGGCTGACTGGAAGGCAGAGTGTGTGTTTCCATATGTATGCACACAAACACCCCCAAAATATATAAACAACATCTTCAGATGTCTTAAGTTTAATTTAATCAAAGTGAATTAAGTATCTGCCAGAAATGCCTCGCTGATAGCACTTTAGACTGGAGACCCAGACACTGATCCCCAGCATCTCAAACCATCTCACTCTGTATCCCATCCTGGCCCACAAAGCTCGCACAGAATTGCAGGAATATCGTAAGATTTCCACCTAATAGTAGCAAGAATCATCTCTGTGACTGCAGTTTTGGCAGTGGAAATCCTTTTGCCAGAGGAGCTGGAATAAAGCTGTGAAGTCTTGTACCAGTTACCGCTATCTTTAAGAATTCCAACCAGATGGATTTTGTTCCACATGCTGGCTTAAAAGGGTAAGAACTTAAAAGATTAGAGGAAACTTTTCTTCTTTACATGACAAAAGAATTGCAGCCTTAAAAACCTTACTAGCACAGAAAAAAGTACTGTGCCTATATTGTAGTGACAACATTTCATAAACTTGACAGATTTCTTACAAGTGCTCAACATTGTACAGCACTCTGGCTTTATCAAGATCTGTTTTATGTGTCACACACAGATTTACACACACTGCCTAGTGGAAGGTGTTCCCTCATGGCAGGGGGGTGGAACCAGATGACCTCGAAGGTCCCTTTTAACCCAGACCATTCCACGACTTTATTCTATAATTCTGTGTTAATCTATCAATCTGTTAGCTGATACTTTTAGAACTACTTGGAAAAAAAGAAAAAATCATTACAAAGCACAAAATACCCAGTTAAGGACTGGTTTTATATGCTGGAATTGTCTGCTCTGGTGACACACCACTGACTTAATGGATTTTCCATCATTTATCCCAGCATCACATTTGATTTGTGTCGTCCACAGTTCCCTATATTTTCCCAAAGCGGCTACAAAAAAGCTTAGAAAGCATTCTGAAAGACTAAAAAGCTTTTTTAGCTTATAATCACTTCAGTGACTTGATATTGAGTCTACTCTTGACAATACACCTCATTGATAATTTTACCTATTAAAAATTACAATGTAAGAGCCCTCACATTCCATTAATAAAGCAACATTTTCTCTACATCACTGATCTTAGTTTTCATTTTTTTCCACAGCAGAATTATGGATGCTAAATCTTAAGGGATGGAGCTGTAAAATTCATTAACCAGGATTAATAAGCAGGAGCAAAAATAGCTCATGAGTCCTGGGACACAATACAACACATCTTACACCATAAACAACAATTTTCTGAGTATCTTCCTACAATCTCTGAGGTCCCATTAGGAAGATCTAAAATGAGGACTACGAGTGCTTAAAGCCATTAACGTACCATGTGGTCTTTTTTTTTTCCCTAGACAAAGGAATATGTAAAATGTAACCATCTGTGCAGCCAGGAACAGTGTTAACCCCAAACTTCAAAACACAGTTTAAGGAAAGGTTAAATTATTTTTCAAGCTTGAAATGCTAAATGAATGTCTCCTGCCTCACTTCTACAGGGAATATTCAAATGCTGAAGAAAATGCCCTCAAGTGTTTTCAACAGCTGCTAAATTGCACATACTAAATGTGTTTTTTCAACTTCAAAATTGAACTATATTCTTTTTATTCTACCTGACAGCAGTTCAAACCTACAACAAATTCAGAACAGGTTAGTCCTACAATACTAAATAAAAAATTAAGTTTTCTGGGGTGCTGCCTGTAAGAACTTGAGAAAAAATTGCAATAATAGCATTTTAAGTTAAAAGTGTATGTGCAGAGTCCTAAATGAATAAAAATAGAATTCAGAAAAAGAATTAAAAAAAAAAAGTTTAATAAAAAACAGTTTATGGGACAAAGGTAGAGCTATAAAATTAAAGACTGACAATTTTCAGGCAGCCTAACTTGACAGAACCATTATTAACCACTTGGTGTGCACTTGAATACTGGCACTCCCCTTTCACCACATCTCACTTTTTTACTATGTATTTTACAAAGAAGGAATAAAAAGACCACAAGTAACTCAGTCCTTCCAGAGGGGAAAGGACAGGTTCAACCTCAGGATGTTGCCTTGCCACCTGAAACACACACACAGACTTGATGCATCCAAGACACTCCACAGCACGTTCAAATCGTATTTCCAAAATGCTGCTTTCATTTGAGATCATACAAATACTGCTGAGAAGACTCTGATAATGCAATAGATGGGAAGATGAATACTCTGAAGACACATCATTAGCTTTAAATTGGCTACAGAAAGAGCCTTTCTTTCACACCTTTAAATATTTACCTTTGAAAAACTTTCAAATCCAGGGATATTAACTGTTTGTCAGAACATCCCACTAATTTTAATGTACATTCGGTATACCAAGAGTTGTATTTTTAAAACAACCCCCAATGGATAGGAACATAACATTCAAGGCCCCCAGAAGAACGTGAACTATTTTTCCAAAGTTATGTGAACCCCAGTTAAGTCCTTGCCATTAGAAAAAAGGAGGAATGGATTGTTGAGCTGGAATGCAAAACTGCAAAGAAAACATAATTCACAAGAATGGCTCTTTGTACTAAATTCCTAACCAGGCTAAGAAATTCAAGGTGAGACACTCCAGGGCAAGGGAGCAAGCTTTGCACAGGAAACCCAGTGCTTCCTCTGGGCTGCAGCAGCACCCGGAGAGAAACTGCAGCTTTTGGGTATCACAGCTCCACACCACCTTCCTGAACACACTTTAACTAATCACCTTCTCATTTCAAATTTACGCTGAGACCTCTTCACCCAAAGGTAGCTCCTCACACCTGCCGTTACAGAAAATTATTTTTCAAGAAAAGAAAAAAATGAATTAAAAAAAAATATTGCTTAATTGACACATCAGAGTTTAATTCCTGTGTCTCCCCTTTGGGTGCCAGTAGTTTTTAAAAAAGGCCCATTTGCAAACTTTCCTTTCCATACATTACAGTCACACCCAGGGGGACACTTTGGCAGAACAACCACAGCCCTTCTTACCCAGAGCTGCATTTCACCAAGAAGGCCACTCCACAGTATAGCTTAAGTGGCTATTTAACATAGTAGCTAATGACTTAAAAATCGCTTAAATATATATTTGGTTAATTATATTAATTAAAATAGCTATTGAATAGCTATTCAGCTATTAATAACACAAAATAACTGTGTTATTTTACATACAGATATATTCATTTTAATGGTGTCACTGCTGGGTTAAAGACAAAGGCAAAGAAACGTTTGTAACCAGACACAACCCTGTGCTCCTGAGCATTCCTCCAGTGCACATACATTTTTGAGAGCAATTTGCACATCATTACCAGCTGAAAAGTTCATTTAGTTTTGGCAACCTGTAGTTATTTAACAATCTGGCGCTCCAGCAAGGCTGCCTCCTCTCTGCAAACAGGCTTTTGTAGTTGAGATAAAGTCATCTAGCAGCTGATAACACTAAATGTTATTAACTGCAATGTTACATATGGCTCACACAAAAGAGCAGCTCTTAGCAGACAACGCTTACTTGCCAAATGACAATACTATTTTTTAAAATAAATTTGTAAAGCTCTAACAGCACCTTGTGTTCATGGCTGTTGTTAATCTATGAAGAATGTATTTTTATTTCATTTTATAAAAGCAGAGATGACTGGGAGGGGGAACCACAATCAGCAAAATTAAAGCTGGGTGAAAGAAAAAGGAAGTTGTCATAAGAACTGATGTCATCAGAACTTAAGTTTTTTTTTTAAGTTATTTTATATGCATACCTGAGACAGTGAGCGTTGTTATATATTGATAGTTTTGTCCTTAAACTTATTAAAGAGCACTTATATTCAGCAATCCGTGTTAATGTTTCAAACCGCTAAAAGGCAGTTTTAAAGTCAGATTCAAAACAAAACGAGACAGAGATGTGACTGCACACCATTAAATAAGTGAAGGACATCTCTCCAGTCCTAGCTTTGCTTTTCTCACAAAGGATGAGCCAGCATTAAGGAGCTGAAGCCACAATGCCTCAAGAAAAGGAAATGTAAAGTCTTGCAGAAGTGCTGCATACCTGGTGCACAGAGAGGAGTCTGGAAAGGGAGGAAAAAGCAGGATGGTGCGGGGCACCAGGAAGGAGAAGCCACTGCCACCCCTGCCCTTGTGCCCAGGGCACGGCTGGCCAGGGGTGGCCAGGCAGGCGAGGCTCACTGCAGGCTGCACTGGGATGGAGGTGGCCGTGGCAGCAAATTACCGTGAGCTGTGCCAGGATGGCCCCGGTGGCGGCACCTCGTGACCCCTGGAAAAAACTGTGCTTGCTCTGCTTTGATTTTCTTCTTAAATATGTCATTGCAGAAGTGTTAGCAACCTCTCCAATTGGGCCAGCAGCATGTCCATATTCAGAACCATCAGAAATTGGCTCTG